TTTGAACATATAATAAAAAATCGGTTAGAATGGTGGATTGAACATCATAACATCCTTCCGGAGAATCAAATTGGTTTCAGGAAGGGAGCAGGTACTAATGAAGCTCTTTACAATCTGTATATAGATACCCAAAATAGCAACTTGAAAAAAGAAAAAACTGTCGCGTTATTCATAGATCTACAATCCGCTTATGACAACGTAATACCAGAAATACTAATTATTAGCCTTCGAAATCTGGGAATCAACCAAAATGTCATAAAAATAATTTATGACTTGAATAAAGAAAAGAACATTTATATCAGAGACAAAAATCACAAGCTATGGGGTCCCAGAAAACGGTACAAAGGTTTGTTACAAGGAGCGGTACTCAGCCCGATTCTCTTTAATTTATATACAGTTACATTGTGGGATGCGATATCTCCCCATTGTAACTATTTACAATACGCCGATGATATAACAATATATAAAGCTCATAAAAATATTCAAATTGCAAAACATCATCTGGAAAGAGCCCTAGAATCTATGGAAATGTGGTTAGAAGATCATGGATTAAACATCTCGCCGGAAAAAACCAAATTCATGATATTTTCCAAGAATCACAACCAAGAAATATTGAATATTAAAATATCAAATCAAAACATATCCCAAGTGGACCAGTACAAATTACTTGGTCTGACCTTTGATAGAAAAATGACATGGAGGGAGCATGTCAATGTAACAATTGTTAAATGTAATAAAATTCTAAACATTTTAAAGTATTTGGCAAAAGTAAGCTGGGGTGCAGACCCCAAAATAATGTTAAACGTACATAATGCGCTTATATCATCTAGAATCGAATATGGATTGATGTTATACGGGAATTCCTGTAAAACCAACATGAAAAAGATATCTACCATCCAATATAATTCTTTGAGAATCTGCTTGGGATTAATGAAATCATCCCCTACGAATGCGATTCTAGTAGAATCAAACCAATTCCCGATTAATATTAAACAAAACTTGATCACACTCAAATTTATTAATAAACATTCGACCATCAATTCGAATCCAATTAGGAAAAAATGCTAATCTTTGAACAAAGAGTCAGTAATACAAATAGAAATATCATGAAAGAGAGCATCTTATATAAATCCATAAGGGAATCCCTGGCCCCCCCTCTAAATCAAGTTATGTCATCTAATGAACAACTAATATTCAAAAATCCCCTAGATATTCAATTTGAAAAATTTGTCTGTATAGAAAATATAGGTATAGAAAAATCCGAAAAAATGTACAGGGACAATAATAACGCCAAGTTTTGTAGTATAATCAGAGAAAAATGGCCTGATCATAAAATTATATTTACAGATGGATCAAAAACCGTTGGCAAAGTATCCTTTGGTATATACATTCCCCATAAAAATCTAGAAAAGGGCGGAATTATACATCCTAAATCATCCATATTAACAGCAGAACTTACTGCGATATATATCTCACTTATTCTAATAAAAGATGAGCCTGATAAGTACTTAATATGTACAGACTCAAAAAGCGCAGTAACAGGACTACAAAATAATCAAGTAAAAATAAACTCAAACGAAATGTTTTTGAAGATTAAAAATATATGGTTTGAACATCAAAAAAACAACTTTAAAATTAAACTATGCTGGATTCCCGGACATAGTGACATTGAAGGAAATGAAAAAGTGGACAAGATAGCAAAAAATGCCAATATTCCTTTCAAAATAAACAAAATCCAAAGTATAGACTTAATACCTTACATTAGGTCAAATATGAGATCTAAATTCCAAGAATTCTGGACTCAATCATCAACCCTGAGGGGAGTTGCATATAAACAAGTCCAACCAACAATACAAGTAAAACCATGGTTTAATAATTGCCAACCCCTTCCTAGGAGGACGTTCACTTCTTTGATTAGACTGAGGATAGGACATACTTGCCTTCCGAAACACCTTCATAGAATAAAAATTAGGGACGATGAACTATGTGAATGCGGTGAAATAGGTGACATTAATCATCTTTTATTTGAATGTGAGAATAACAAGGAAAATATCAATATACTATATAAAGAACTCATAAAAATTGGACTACACCCTCCATTATCATACCAGATGATACTAACCGACTTAAATGAGGAAAAAATAAAAATTCTTGGAAAATTTATTGAGAAGAGTCAGGTCAAAATATAAAACAAAAAACAAATTCTACTATTCACCCAAAAATTTCAATCTGAAAATATTCTTATCTCTATTGTGTTTTGTCTTATAGGTCTATGTTATCTGATTGGGAAACTTTCTAATTGATTGTATGTTGTTCAATATCAATGTCTAAACAACCTCAACCTACTAAAAATGGGATCTAACAAAATCCAAATATAATCCTAACAATTCCTATTCCTGAAACAAAACTCACCGGATCTGGTGGAATTGACACCGCAAGGAGTCAGAAAACCAAGAAAACTAAAAGAAGAAGAAGAAGAACACTCTCAAAAGAGATTTTAGTACTGTGTTCAGTTATGGTTCAGTTCGTGTTTGGTTTTCTTGTGGATTTTTGAACAAAATAGAAGGGAATTGAAATAAATACAGAGTGAGTGAGGAACAAACATATATACAAACTTGCACAGCTAAAAAATTCTATTTTAGATAATAATTTAACAAACACCATTGGACAAACAGATGCAATAATAGTTTGGACGTGTTCAGCGGATACACAAGAATATAATAATTGGGGACTTTGAAGATGCATGAGCTTTCATTACATATGAATCAAAACGAAAATCAAAGATAGCTACTTGAAGAAACAGTTATATTTCAATACTGTAGGTATGTATAAGGTTGCATATTTTGGATTAGTAGAGAATGAAATCATTCAATCTTTCAGCTACAAAATCAACAACCAGAAGCCCATCAATTACAGATATCAATGAAGAAAGCACACAATGATCCAGACTATATGATATGAATTATTTCATGGTATATGATATATATCTCACTTCCAGGCAACATTCATATCAATATGATGAAGAGTAAGGTTCTCCATATCAGGAAATTGTTTTCTTGTAGATTGAACTTCATTGTTGACAATAACTTGATCAATATAATAACTGATTACCTACATACCTTTCAAGTTATTAGGTAGGTACATAGGTGATGTAATTTTTGAAACAATGAGGATACAGAGTGTTATGTAGAACTAGAATTAAGATGTTTGATGTTTCCATAGTTGTGATCATGGCAATAATATACACACATGGATATTTTCAGTTCTGGTTTTTGTATGGGGTATTTATACTGCTAGTTTCCTGGAAATAACTGTGATATCAGAATGCCATCTCAGAGATTTCTATGTAATTATTCAACAACTTCAGGTAAGGAGTGAATTCCACATTTCTGTTTTACCCAGAGGACAAAAAACTCGGAGACCTACCTCAATTCTGTTTTTTGAAGTTCCACATTTTTCAACCAGTTTGAAAATAAAAAGAGAGTGATGCAAATCTGAGTGAAAATGAGATACGTTGCTTTCCAAGTGGTGATATAAACTGGAATACCTATCAAAAAACCTATTTTCACTGAGATATGTGCATTACCCTATATAATCTTTGACAAACCTAGTTGAAAAATGGGACATCAAAAAACAGAATACTATGAATATTGAATTCATTCAACCCCGTTAACCAACGGCCCTGAAAGACTCCTCTATCGGGGGAATGAAAATACTCAAGCGGCCAATTAATGGCAGTCTCTGGAAAGTCTCAATCGGGCCGAAGATATGCAATGAATGCAGTACATTTGAGTACTTGCCTCTGCCCACCAGAAGCCCTGCAACGTAATAAGCGGCATACTGATGGCTCTAGTGAGGCGGTCGGCTGTCGGCCGCCGGGACACGGGCTAGCCGGCCCAATTTAGTTGTACAATAGAGGACCGCTGTTACCGCTCGCCGGCGAGTTTCATTGTACCTTTAGAGGGCCGCAAAAATCATGTTTGCTGGGAGCTCTCTGTCAAATAGATGAGCATAGAAAATCAGATGGCTATTCAAGCCGAAGAAATAAAAAAATTTGCTGTTATCCATTATATACAGCCGTAGAAAAAGTATAGTGTATAACTCGCACGGAATACTAATTTCCCACTTTTGTATTATTTATTGCAGCATTCGCCTGAACATATATTTCCGCGCTAGTGCGGAAAAAGGACTCTTCCAACACTAAAATGAGTGCGGAAAAGTGGATATTTGCGCACACGTTAGTAGAAATAAAACATTTTCAGTTTTCATAATCCAATTATTGATAATGGATATCTCCATCTGCTACCAACCTATCTACCTATACCCTCTATACCTATGAGATGATAATTGATTATTGATGATTTCCTCTTGTAATATAAAATATAATAGGGAGGCCTGTAATGATCTAATAGGTCCTATAAATAAGTACTCCTACTCTTTTATATTACATGTTTTTCATTGAGGAATGAGATGACAAAAGTGACAAAAGTTCACTAGGTTAATTAGCCTAATCAGTTAGATAAATGGACTCGACTATGCAGGGGTTCAACTAATAAATTATGAATCGTGATTATGAGGTTGTCATGTCGATGAGAAATACCATATGACTCGATATGAGTAATGACTACTAAAAAATATACCAAATTAGAACTTTGAACCGTGAATGGGAGGGGCAGACTCATTCAATGAGAACAAAAGTTTATAACGTAACGTAATGGAAAATCTGAGCATCTCGGAAGTACTGTCGATCTGTCGTGTCGTTGAGTTGAACATGAACATAATCATTCATCAATGAATTGAATGTGACGTAACCACCATAACAATGTTTTTTATTACTGGTTGCAACTAGAATCCCACGTGATCATCGACCAATAACTACTGCGAAAGCGCCTTCGCTCCCACCCTGTTACCATTATTGCTTCGATTTGCCGCAAGACGGCAACACTGTGCTGTCGCTGAATGTCTGTCGCTGTCATGCTGTCATTCGTCAATTCGTCATTCAGTGTTCAGCTTTCAGCCAGCTGCGTTCGTTTGGCTTGCAGTGGTTGTCTTCGTGCTTGTATTTGGTTTATTTTGTGAAGAAAAACATGTTTTCCATTTTCAAAACAAATATCTCAATCAAGTGCATCGTTATTCAGTAATTAGTGTATAAAGGTGCCAATTCCAGTTCAAAATGCCTACAACACCAGAATGTGATTATGATATCGTTTCGATGGAGGGTCTGTTGTCCCTATTGAGAAACGAATCAAAAAACATCGTGATCCTCGATTGTCGCAGTTCGAACGAATACGGAGAGTCTCATATTCGGGATGCTGTTAATTTTTCCATACCATCAATCATGTTGCGTAGGTTGGCCGCTGGTAAGATTGACCTGGCCTCAACAATCAAATGTCGTGAATTGAAAGCCAAAGTTTGCAATACTTATAAAGACAATTTGTTTGTGCTTTACAATGACTTATCTGCAGTTCAACATCACCAAAGTGACTCTGTTCTCAGTGTTTTGTTGCGGAGGCTGACGCAAGATGGTTGCCGTGTTGTGTGTCTTGAAGGTGGGTAATGTTTGTACACAAAAGTAGATTGCTCCAAATGCAGTGTTTACATTTTTGTAGTTTGTTTACAAACATTAAATTAATTGACATTGAAACTAGGAATCATTTACTAGTCTGACTCTTTGTAGGATAAGTAGGTTGCCTAATATTTTTAGATGAAACCAACCAATATGTTTCCATAAGTAATATCAGATGTTCTGAATATTCGAGCTGTTGCTTCATTGTTCACGAAATTTTGTTCCCGAGCAACACAATTGATTTAACAATGAAAGACAGAATTATGAGAAGATATTCAGAACAGAGTGGTATTTTGCTAGACTATTTCACGTTCACGAAGCATGAATAGTAATTTATATGTACCAAGGACCAAACACTATTATTGTCGAGTCTGCGAATTGATAGCCGAGGCTAGCAATCAGGCGAGGCAGTTGACAGTTTTTCGCCAAAGTGCATAGGTATCTATTACATTTTTTCGTCGACTTCAAACACTTATATTCACATCACGGTCCTATTCACACGTGAAATCTATCGGATTTCGCGAGGGATTTCGTGAATCTTTAATTTGACAGGTATTGTCAACTCACTCTCCGCGCGGACCAGGGTTGCCAGTTCGATTTTTATTCCATCAAAAATTCAGTAGATTTCAATAGATCTGTTTAAGATCTATTTTATGCTATTCGAATTCCAAGAAATGAAAATGAAATAAACCTATGACATCAAAACATTATGGACATTTAGAAAAAAGAAACAAACGAAACCGGGAGAGGACACGGCGGCAATAGGTGTACAAAATGTTCGGAAATGAATGGCAATACTTGGGGCATTATAGGCATTTTTTTTTTTTTTTTTTTTTTTTTTTTTTATCGCTTGGAGCGCACGAGAGGGAATCCCTATAATGTTCAAAGAACATCGTGCGTTCCTAATAATAATCGGCATTATTCGAAGATTGGCATTGAAGAAGAAATGCAGGAATGGGTGGTATTAAGTCGGAATTATTAGGCAATGGACGGCAATACATATCATATGAAGTATTTATTTTGGCAATAGATCGGCAATAGTCGGGAATAAACTGCACTGAATGACGTAACAGCGAAATAAAGTGGAAAGGGGCGTCTATTCTTTATTTCTGTCCAATCATTCATTGCAGTGAGTAATCCCTATGTGTTGTGTTTATTTAAATTTCGATTAGGTAGGTATGTCGTTAATTGGAAATACCTATATTGAATGTGACAGGACACAACTCACATGGATGTACACGATGATGTTCCTACCTAAACTTTTAAAACTTTTTTATGTATTATATTTTGTCTCCTTTTTAAATGTAGGTATATAATCAAGAAACGGTTATACAGTTGGTAAATATCAATAGGTATGTACAGCACGTGGTCAACCTTGTCGTTTCTAAGATCGAGTCCAAGATATAGGTATATATTTATTCACTATCAGGTCACGAAAAAAATGTAAGTTGCAGGTGAGTAAACTTACATTTTTTCGTCACAACACCATAAAAATTACCACGTTGTATTGAATAAACACGCGCAAATGCCGAAACTTTTGAATGGAGTGCCATAATGACATAGGTAGTCTCTATCCAGCCGCTGATAATGGTACATTTTCCCCCCACCTCTCTGGTACTGCCGAGGGTACTGCGGAATATTGCGGATTATTTTTCGGTACTGCGAGATAATGCGAAGTACTGTGAGATACTGCAGCTTACTGCGAGATACTGCGATTGCCATTTTGTACAAGTATTGCAGAAGGGAGAGACCCCTCGGTTACTTCTTGAGCTCTCTACGTTGTCATTTTGGTTATAACAATAACCGACAATAACTTTATATGAGTACGCCCATGCTCAAAGTCTACTCTAATTTCCATTGAATACCTGCTGAAGATGAAATTCCCCACGAAATTCTTGCAATTCCCAATAAACCGAGCAATTAACTCATAAACTCCCATCTCTTGTACGCCAAAAATCCCATCTGAAATTCAGAGTAAAATTCCCCTCGCTACAGCCACAGTCTAATCATACTGGGTGTCCCAGAGTTTTTAGGCCAGCACGGGCTAGCAGATATCTGGGTTATCTAACATACAAAAAATTTCAACAAATTATGGAATTTATGAATGATGAAATCAAATCACCCTTGTGTCCAACAATCCACTAGAAGTCAGTGGCGGCTTGTGCACGTTTCAACAGGGGAGGCTGAATGGCAAATGTGACTGTGATATTCAATGAAAAAAAACTGAGGATATTTATTGAGTTCTTGTTCATAGATTCTAAAATTACTAAAATGCAAATTTCGTCAAAACCATCTCTTATCAAGAGTACCTTTTTTGGAGTCAATGAGTTGCGCAATCTAAATTTCATACTCAACCTCCTTTTCTTCCAATGGCGTAGAATTCTTAAAGGTGCAATTATTAAAAAAATCAAGTTCTACGCCTATGTATTATTATCGGACAAAATTTAAACATCATTTTTTTGCCACATAAAACTCTATCAATATACCAAATTCCAGCAAAATCGCATTTGCCGTTTTAAATTTATATGGGAAAAACGATTTTAAAATTGTAACTTCAAGGCCCTCTGGAGCCCAAACGATGCAACTTTGTACTGAGGTAATTTCACTTAAATCGACTTATTTTGGTCTAGGGAATATGTGGTATGTTTTTGTAAAGACCTTTTACAGACACCCTGTATATGGCGAGATATATAGGCTTCCTGTGTGGAAATTCTGTGATGATGGATGCGTCATCGACTTGTAGAATTCTCGAGAGCACTGGATTTCGACCGCGACAAATTTCGCGTTTCTGATCTGTCAGATGTCGCTAGTGCTCCAGGTGTTACTTGATGTATGCAACCATAATTGCCCTACTTTTGTGTTTTATACACAATTCGTGTCGAAGCTTGTTTCCACCACTAGCTATAAAACCTACCAGTATATACTCCTTTTCGAGGTGTAAAGTGTTTTTATTAACAAGGTAGTTTTCGTCGTTTTATGAACCACTAGTCAATAAAGACATAGCCACCTCTGTTATAATTAACCCGAATTCAGTGTTCTGATGCGAGATTATACTGAAGAAGCTAGCAAAGCCACTTCCGATTTTCAACATGAGACTCATCCGAGTTAATTTTTGGCTCATTTCAGGCTAATTTATTACCCCATTCCCGAATTTTTTGCTCCTCTCTATCATAGAAAAATCTGTGGCTTTGCAAGCTCCGGCCGACCTCAGCAAAGCCATTTTTGAAAAACAATATTTTTTGAAGATCTGATGTAGTGAAAATGTAGTGCTCATTTTAGGCTAATTTATTACCCTAATCCCAATTTTCTTGCATCAGAAGAAGCCTCATATTACTATTAACAAAACCACAACGTTTTATTGAAATTGAAGAATAGACAACTGAGTAATGAATACCAAAATGATTTTTCATGGAAATATTAATACCCTGTATCTCGAAAACGAAGCAAGTTGAGACACATGTTCATATGAACTGTATTTCCTTAAATATCACAAGGAATCACCCCTTTAATTTTTTCGGTGTTATTTAGATACACCCTGTATATCTTATTATTTCATCTCAAATGCCAGAACTATCGGATAACCAGTGCATCTACCCTATCTGAGTATCTGCTGGCCTAAAAGCTCTGGGACACCCGGTATAGTATTCTCAAAATTTCCTGTCTTACGAGGCCGCCTCAAAAGTTTTTTGTTCTTTCTTATAAAAACGGATGTGGCGTTCCTTTCCCAGAATTTAATTAATGTTCATCGCTCTGTCGAACGATCGCGATTTCTCGGAATCCGTGGGATTATTTATTGTTGTTTCTATTCGGTATGCAACACCAGAGAACACCTTCCACCTTCCTACCTACTTTAGTACTTTGTGCTCGCCTGCAGTGTTGCCATCTTAGCGGTTTTGTCGCTAAATCTAGAGTTTTTAGGGTAGTCGAATGAGACATTACAACCTGATTTGCGACTTGTCGGAATTTTAACGTTTTCAACATAGTCAGTCATAGTGGTTTATATATGGAGATATTTTGATCATATGAATCGATGACGGCGGAAATTCACATTGATACATTCGAGACGAAGAGATAAGCATAAAAGAATGACAGATGACAGGGTTTGTTTTCATCATTTGCGCCACTTCTGTGCCATATATTCGATATTTTGCCTAAATTGGTATTGAAACTTATTCGCGAAAATCACGAAGCGGCCTCTGGTGGCTAACTGTCTTGCGAGTATGAACAACAAATATGGCGACCATTGTTTTGAATTTCATAAATATGTGTTTTATTGGAAAATAATTTATTTGTTGAAGTGCATATTCCAGAACCTCATTTCTCCCTGATGAAAAAACTCGAATTATTGCATGAACTTTTATTGTTTACAATGAAGGAACCAGTAACTACCTTATAATAATATAATATACATTTTCTGGAGTACAATTGGAATCATTGTATAAATGTTGATTGCAATGATTCGATCTTGAGAATAACTTCAAGTCCAGTCCTCAATTGCTGGAGATCCTTGTTTATGTAAATCGATGATATTGTTCATTCTGAGCAGCCTCTCCAACCATATCTTCTTTTCCAACCCCTCCACTACAATTCCATCTCCTTCATAAAAGCCAGTGATATTTCTTGATGAATTCAATTATTTCTTCATACCTATACTATATTGTTTTAATAGCTGATTGCTTGTATGGTTCCATTCCAGTCCATGCAAGTGTTGAGTGGACCATTCCGATCCTTCCATATGTTAGAAAACTGTGGGATTGTAGTGATATCAATGATGAATACCACCATTGTCCACATCAAAATGGCAATTTCTCTGCACGAAAAGTAATTTTTTCTATACTGGAAACCTTGTACGTATTTCAAGAAGTAAACTTATTATTTACTATTTTGCAAAATGATTTGGAAATAACCAATTTGCAGTGAGTGCATACGGCAATGTTTCTGTTGTTCATACTCAGTTGGAAATTTGACGTTGATTTGACGTTT